TTTCAGGAAGTGGCGAGCAGTCGCAACATTTTTTGGACCCAAACGACGAGGAGAACAACGCTGGATACAATTTTAGAGAGTTGTGTGAGTTCTTGATTTTCTTTATTTGTAATATTTAAATCATTGCCTAAGCTCTGGGGGGCTACTCTCGATCCCCGTCCGACATCCGTCCGAAACAATTAGTGTCAAAAAAGTAATATTCTACAAACTTAAAAGACACGTATCCAGTATGAAGCTTCATTCGCATCACGCATATCCTGATAAATGATGACAACGAATAAAGAACTAGATAATGTTTAGGATGGAAAATAGTTTGTAGTGGACTTAGTGGTATCTATTTTAAGATAAAATCCTCTTTTGTAATCAGCAGATATTACATTCATTACGTACCATTCTCAATGTTATTATTGGGGTTCACTTAAAATATGTCACTAGACTATCATTTGATATCTGTTCATCTATGCTTACATAAAACCTTTAGCGTCGTTATAGGCATGCTAGGTGAAATACACTACATCCAGTATGTTACTTATTTAGAGGCTATTCTGTGTACTTAACATTTATAGTAAAAGTTTTGTAGCTTGGATTACCAATTCTTAAATAAAATGAATAAAGTAAGAATTTAATGTGTTAAGTGGATCAAGCTCCTTGCATCGACATACTTTGACATTCCCCAAAATACCTTTCTAAGTTTTAAAGATGTTTAGAAAGCTCTGCAAAACACAATATTCTGTAGTATGTTTTACATGTTTCTGTGTAACTTAGTTTTTTTTTCTTCCAGCTGGAGCAGTGTGTACATATAAAATAGTCCAAATGACAGGTGAAGAGGCTACCAATACCATTACAACACACTCTCCATCCAATGGTACATATTTACTTAAACCATTAAACATATAATTCATTATATAATTATTTTAATTACAGAAATATTCTTCAAGAATTATTAAATATTACAAGTTCCAAAAGTGAAAATGATTTAGTCCTGTTCCTTTGATTAATTAACCTGCAGGGCTAATACGATAGGGCGCGACTTGCGTAAGAGCGACATAGAAGCGCAAGATATTGCTATTAGCTATGCAAAACAAGTAGTATCTCATACTTTATGCTGCTTTCGCGCATGTCGTGCTAGTACTGCGGTTTACTAGCACTAATTAAAAATAAATATTATTTGACCTTCTTCTAGAACCTCTTGATACTAAATTTTGAAAGATATAAACCATTTCAGGTATATCAAATGCAGAATACTTCGTCATAGGAGAGCCCGCTGACGTGTTTGGAACGACAGCAACACAGAAAAAAATTATTCGGAAAAATCCTTTACAGGCCAAAGCTGTTACAGCAAAAAAGGTAAGTCGTAAGACTAATTACATGAGTATTTCAGTTAGAATAAAAGCAAGGAACAAATCTAGAAGTAAAATTTACACATCACCTCTGTCCCTATGTGTTGCAGTTATTGTATTAAGTAACCTGTCATTGTATATTTTTCCATATTATTTCAGCGCGACGACAAACGACGAGCAACGCATAATGAAGTAGAAAGGCGTCGTCGAGATAAAATCAACAGCTGGATTACCAAATTAGCTGCTATGGTACCCAATTCCGGTCTTCCAGATACCGCAAGTAAAGGAGGTATACTGGCTAAGGCATGTGACCACATTGCTGAGTTAACAGAAAAACAAAAGAGGTGCGTACCAATTACGTTTTTCTAAATTTTTTTTCCCATACATGCCACAGGTCATTCTAAAATCAGGTTTTAGTTAAAGTCACATTTAGGTCATTTTGGACTGAATATTTGTACTAGGCTGCTTTTTAGGTTAATTTAAGTATTGTTTTGGATTTTGATCATTATGTTGCTCAAGAATAATTTTTCTGTAATTTTAGATTAGAAAAATTGGAAGTGGACAATGAAAAACATGTGCTGGAGATTTTGAGACTCAACCAGGAGATAGCAGAGTTACGGAAGGAAAACTCTGCAATGAGATGCCAGCTCGCCGACAACTGTATAGTAGTGAACCAAAGGTCAAAAACTCAAAAATCTTAGCTGATCGTAGGAACTGTGTAATAACAAAGGTGCTGAGTGAAGTGTGGTGTGTGGTTGTGCCCTCACATTGGCTTATGAATGAAAAACAGGTATGTTATAGTATAAAATGAACAATGTACCCCTTTGACATCACAGATTTTGTTAATTTATGTTGTAAGAATCATTTTGTGTTCAATAGTATGTGAACTGATATTATATGTATATTCAGAATCTACCCTTTGCCGCGTTTCAATGAAGGCATTGCCGCAAGTGCGGGCGTAGCTCATCAATATCACTTTAAGTTATGAATGAGTAGGTGCTGCCCCCTGATAGCACTATAAACGTAAACGCTCTGCATCTGCGCCCAGCTCTTGTTGTGCATGGCCTTAATTCAACCGGCGGACCGATTACTTGCTTAAATATACGAACTAACTTTTCAGTATTGCAAGCTTACATGCTGTGATACATAACCTCTCAATTTTTTTCACCAATGTGACCTTTACCTGTAACTGTATGGCCTATTCGCCGCATTTATAAACCATATAAACGCTAATACATATTTTTATTTTATTCGTAAATAAATATACCTTCCGCCTTATCAATTGAAAATCAGATGTTTGATATGTTCTGTCAACTAGTAAAAATAAATTTTACTTTAGAACCTGAAGTATCATTGTTATTGGTTACAGCATAAATTGTATAATTTGAAATATGTATTGTTGTTAAGTGTCTGTAATCTATTGAACGAGGCACTAAGAAATACCTAGTTGCGCCTAAGTAAGTTTTGCAATAAGCATATTTTGTAAGATTATTATTGATAGAGGTGAGAATATTGTTATACACATTGACCATGAGAGGGTCTACTTTACAATTAAAAACTAATCTAAATGTTATTACTCAGACAAATTAGTTTTAAATCTTTACCGTTGTAGAAATTAATAGAACTTTTCAACTATCGTCATTACAAATATTATTACCATAGTAGAATTAGAACCAGTATGGTAACTCCACACAAGCATCGCAGCGCGGCTTATGTGTGGGCGCAGTCTACGGACGCACACATTTGCATAATCTAGCATTGCATAACACTAGTCCCAACGCGCCTTTCATTTCTAAGCGAAGGTGTGCGTCCGTACACGGCGCATGGCGGTTGCACACACATACAAGCCGCGCTATTATTTTCTACGGAGTTCTATTTGTTTTATTCTACTTTGGTATTACCATCTCAAAATCCAATCAATTTGATGACCAATAATGTAAAACTTGTTTGCTTAATTGCTTAATTATGAAAGAACTAATTTCATTTTTAAAACTGTTTGTGTTATTTGACAGTTTCATAAATGGCGTCATATTGTTTAGTTGTTTATCGCTTTGTCACGTTTGAATGTAATAAATTAGTCACAGAGAAAGGTAGACATAGCAATGGGTTCTAAATTTTACTGTGTGTATCATAAGTTTTCCTTTTTATCCTGGTATTCTCTCTAAAATTCATTGCTCCTCGGAAATATGTAAAATATAATAAGGATGTTAAATGGAGTATTTTTCCACATTATGTATGAACATAAAAATTACATTAATGTCTGGTACCAATTAGCCAGATTGACAACTACGGAAATGCAAATACGTTGAAATCATTCTGCCCTACAAACACAGCGCGCCTATATAACAATAGATGGATTTTACACCATTCAATGGATCCTGTTGATCAAATAATATTGTTGTGTATATTGATATTATACAGTATGCAGTGTATTTTGTTATTTGTACACTACATAATATGTGGTTTTAGCTACACAATAATTTTAAATATAAACCTAAGTATTAGTATGTACGTAGCTGTAAGAATTGTTTCTATTTCATTGAGTACAAATAGATAAATTTGCTATGGAATTCGGTTTAAAAATATGCATTTAAAAACCTTTTTTAGACCAAATTTGCACGATATTTTTGTCACGAAGAAATCATGCAGTTCTATTCTGTTTTTTTTATAGTTATTTGAATTACTTAGTCATTGAAATAAATGATCAAGTGTTGTTGTTTCTAAAGTTTTGTTTTATTCGTGAAATTTAATATCTGCATGTATCGGACCCCGGCAATCAATGAAAGATTATTTTTAAGCCGCTATTATCCTTATTTTTGATTTTGATCATGAAGAGCAACCATAAGAAAAGTGTCATACATTACAATACATTTTATTCGTAGCTAATTCAGCAGTTAACAAAATGTGTTTTCACAATCTATCTCATAATTTCTTGATTTTCGCTCACTGACCTACATTACAGGGCTGATTATTTGGCTTATTTCTTCCTGTAAATCGGTAGTACTGCTTTCTTCAGGTAATTCCAAATCAGAATCATTTTCTTCAATTGTAGGAATGGACATTAAATCTGTAATCTTACATTCTTCAGTAACTTCCGTTTCTTTGATTTTTTCTGTTTCCTCTCTTATTTTCTCTATTTGTACTCTTACATCCTCTATTTTGTCTCTTGAATTCTCTACATTTCCATCAGAATCATTTTCTTCAATTGTAGGAATCGACATTAAATCCGTAATCTTACATTCTTCAGTAACTTCGTTTTCCTCTCTTATTTTCTCTATTTGTCCTCTTACGTCTCTTGTATTCTCCACATTTCCATTATGTATAACAATACCTCTAATTTCTTCAACTAAAAAGTCGTTTGGTTTATTGTTCGCTATAAGAGCCATGTGCATTTGTTTTTTCCTACATTGTTTAGCTCTGTCGTGGTGAACTTTCAGATCTTTGGCATTTACGAATCTAGACTTGCAGAATTCACATTTGAAACGCCTTTCATCTGCAAATGAAGTTTAGAATTTGAACAAAATACTTATGCAACATAGGTTGTTGAAAAAAAGAGCATGTTTTACACAATAAACACAAATGTGTCAGATACTATCTGACAAGCTAGAAACAAGCTAGACAATACTAAATGTTGTTTTTTTTTATGGACCGGTAGTTCCTTTTCTTTACTCATGTGCCGGTAGTTTGTCATCTTTGTCAGTTACCGAGTAAGGTAGGTGATAATAAGGCCCAGTATTTAAAAAAAAATGTTAGAATACTCTTAATTCGTACAACAGATCACGCACACATTGAAATTTAAAAAATGCGTGTCCCGCGCACCGCCCACATGGCATGCTACCTTAGACGTCGTTTGTTCTATGGCGCTGAGTGTTAATTTTGCAACTAAATTATATGAATACAAACCAACCAACTCGAAAACTTGTTATACTACGTGCTTTCTACCACTGTATACGTTATTTGTGAAAACGATACGAAAGTGTTAGCGTAGCGTAGTAAAAAGTAACCTTGACGTACAGATGTACTCGGGAGTTGTAAACTTTTTAATAGTTTCATAGTAATGAACCATATTATTTACAAGTTTTACTTTAAATATTGTATAAGGTATATTTTGCTTCATAGAAATTATTTTACTTTTAAAAGTAAGTAATACTGCATTCAGATTTTTAAAGCTTAGCTGCAAATCGAATCGACCAAAAAAACTTCTATTTTTATAATGCCGATACGAAAGGGGTCACACGAGGAGAAAGTTTTCGCGCGGTCGCCACGCGGTCGAAGAGCGGAGTCCGCGGCGGCCACTGCGCGGTCGAAGAGCGGGCTCCGCTCGGCTACCGCGTAGACAAAAGACAAGCTAGTACCTTCCAGCTAAAAAATAAATGAATAGAGCGTATTTTGCCATGACAGTTCGGTCTCTGAACACATGCACGCGGTCGCTGGGCGGCGGCCGCCGCAGACTCCGCTCGGCGACCGCGCGTGGTGAGCGCGATGAAATTCGTGTCGTATAAACGCGCCCTAAAGATTCATTCCTTATTTTAATGGTGCTATTACTATAATAACATATCTTACTTAACGCCAAAAAAATTGCTTTCACGTTAAGTTCGTAAAACTTAATGGTGCTATTACTATAATAACATATCTTACTTAACGCCAAAAAAATTGCTTTCGCGTTAAGTTCGTAAAACTTGGTAAAACTCGATATGAAACAGCTTATATCTCCAAATGGTTGCTTTTTGGAGATAAGGAACCGAAACAAAATCACCAAAACCACCTTTTTTTGTTGGGCATACATATTTCTAACCCAAAAATAGCGTTGTAGGCGGTAACCACACCATAACATTGGAACATTCTGTCGATATTATCTAAGGAAACGTACCTATATGCCGGTTAATGTGCCTGCTAATAGTATCGCGACGGGCAGCTCGGTACGGACATTTCGGACATGCAAACGGCTTTTCTCCCGTGTGAGCTCTGCAAATTTTTATTTAATATTATAAAAAATGTTAGTATCTCGTATTATTATTCTTATTACTTAGATATTAGATGTTCAGTGTATTTATTTGAAACCGAAAAACAAAGGACTATAGATGAGAAACCTTTTTGCTTATTAGAGGACACGGCGTATTTTATACTCGCGTTTACGGCGCCGTAGAGGCTCAAAAAGCAGATTGTTGCGTTTGTATCGATTCAAACGCGGTACAGAAGGTGCATAGGTTCACTAGCTGCGACTGTATAGCGTTTGAAACGCGTTTACGTATCGGCGCGTATAAAATACGCCGTGTGCATAGGCTCTTATAATATTTTATAAACGGTAAAATAAAATTATTACACTATTACACAAGTTTTTTTTCCGGATCGACAATCTTATATCCAATCGAATTGTCTGGTCGATCTAAAAATAAGAAACTACTCATTAGAATAATTTAAAGATGTATATAAAGTGTGTAGTATAGAAATTTTTGAGTTAGCTCCCTTGTTTGAAAATGTACCTGATTTATTTCTACGTAAGAGCCCAGTTACAACATATTTTACACGTTTAGTGTTCAGTACACGGTCGTTATTAAAATTATATTTTGAGAAAATAAATCTATCCGCCCTCGACTGCTATATTCTGTGGTAATAATTTATGTCTCAATGTAAACCCATACACCAGAATTAACCAAAATGAAACGTAACACGTGGTAACATAGTGTAGCTTCGAAATGTACGAACGGAAGTCCTTGTGAGTAATACACTCCCGGACACATAATTCGAGCCACCTTGCATTTTTATCCTTAAAGGGCTAGAATATAACAGTCATCGTCGAAGAAAAAATTTCTCCGGTTTTTTAAATTCAAATTTTCAATAAAGATTTAAGGTAATGACGTTTAGTATACCTGCAAGTTTCAAAGTTGCATAATAGTTCTTGATCAATTAAGCATTGTTTTAGGTTAAGGGCATTTAATATTGAAAATGCAAGGTTGCCCGAACGAAGTGTCCGGGAGTATATTACTTTATAAACAGAGACGATGCAACTTACCGCATATGATTCGTTAGATCTGATGACCTATAGAATTTTTTGTCACACTCCTGACAATGGAATCTGTATTCGCCATTATGGCGTTTTATATGAACATTAAGATTATGTTCCGTTGAGAACGCTGCACCGCATGTGGGGCAAATGTATTTCTGTGGATATAATGACTATCTTAAGTACAAAGAATTAACAGAATTGATATACACTTATGTAGGTTTACATGTGTAATGAATTACAGTAGCAATGTTATTGCGTAGTATGAATGAAAAAGCTTCCAGCCGCATATATAAATGGTATTGTGGGTGGTTGTGTAATGAATTCTTTCTCATGCTTCAAAAATTGACTTATTGCCATAGAAAAACTCATGAAATGGTGATTTTTCTTTCTTTTTTTAATTTTAGCCCCGCACTAGGGAAACCCTGTGTCACGGGTGCCATGGACACACATATAGACTACAAATTACACCCCAACTCACGAGATAAATAATTGTAGGCCATACAAATATTTCTCTTGACCCGGGAATCGAACCCAAGACTTCTACGTGGCAGACCTGTATGTTAACCGTTCGGCCACAGAGACGGTTGGATAAGTATTAGAGTTACTTAACTTAGTTGGAGATTATTATTATTATTGATATATAAAGATCGAACAAACACAAAGAAAAAATTCTTCCATTTGGCTAGATTCGAACCAGCGACCACCGTTAGCTAGCCAACTGAACTACGAATCAGCAGATCTTATGAAATTCTCCACGTGCTTGTTGTGGAGTTTCGTTTTTGGGTTTAAACGGCTTTTGTTGCCGTAGCGCCACCTGTGAGACACCTATGAAAGATTTCCTTCATGCAATAATTTGGACGCCAACTGTTAGCAACAGTATTCCACTTCCTAGATGAGAATTTATTAAAATGTCAAGAAAACTGTCTTAGGGCAGGGTACGGGCTATATGCATACGCTGCAGTTACAATATGCTATGTATTGTACTTTCGTTAATTTATCTAAGGCTATATACTTTTTCTTTTTAGTGTATTGTTTTCCAGTGTAGTGTGAGTTTAGTGTAGGCCAGTTGGCCTACGACCTCTGGAAAGTTAGCTAATATTTTTAAAATCAATGAATACTTACAGCTGGTTTTACTTTTGTTTTTTCGCCATGAATATTCATGTGCATCTTCAGCTTGCTTTCTGATGAAAACTTTTGTAAACAATGGCTGCATTCAAGCTCTCCTTTTTTGTTCTATAAAACAGAAATAGGCTTATTTGAAATACACTAATGCGTTTTGATCTAGGTCACTTCAAGCTTTATATTTAGATTTTACATTATAAGCAGTCTATCTCATTACAGATCTTTTGATCTCAGATGAAAATTGAAAACATTCTTCTATTAGTAACGAGAAGTCTGCAAAGGTTTTTAAACTATAATGAGGTTGCATTTTGTTGGCCTGATGAGTCTACAGGCACTTTACTGAAACTGTTATTATTATTACACTCATTAATACACTCATCAAAAGGATTCCCGCGAGTTCTTTGTACTTCATTCTCCATTGGCTATATAAATAAACTATTTAATAACTATTTTAGTCTTTATAACGGTCATTCTTTAATCTACGTTGTCCATCTCGTTGCTAATTGTCCTCGAATATCAATACTGTGCACAGATTCCGTTTTCACTTAATTCCATAAGTTCCAACATGCGTCTCATTTGTACAATAATTTGGTAACAAAGCACGACTTGCCTATAATTTTGCTGAGAATTTCGGTGTATAGAACAATTATAAAACCTTAACACAATCTTATTTCTCTAACAAATCAAAGTTTCTGGCCATTTACAGGTCTCAAGGTTACGGTTGTTTGATAAGACAAATGTACGCGATTTATTCACGTTCACGAGTCTTTCACATGCGTTCTTCGCTTACTTGCGGGACTCGCTTCGCGTATACGCATGGATCTGTTGCGTACGCGCTGGCAGGACTGTTCACGAATCGCTCGCTTGCGCCGGGCCGCTTGCTTTGCGTTGGATTTCTTTGCGTTGCGTGAGTTTCATATGTAGCAAACTTGATATTTCCATAAAAGCAACAGGGAACGTTTGCGGATGACAGCACCACTGGCCCATCACAGAGCAGCAGCAACCACGCGTCCACTACAACCAAATCAAAGGCACGGCGCCGCGCATGCGCGCAAGTCTCTCCGCAACGCAAGTGAAAGAGTCGTGAACCCGGCATTAGATCCGAAAAAATGGTTTCATTTCCTACGTGTAACAACCGTGAAAACCTAAGAACTCGATTCATATGGGAAATCATTATTTGAATATACCGTACTAGTTGTCTGTGAATAAGCTTGAATTGTTATCTAGATACAAATCTTATATATGTAATGCAATACTGTATTATGCGTTGGTCTCAGTCTGTTGTGTTCCTGCACAATAAATAAAATATCATCGACTTACCTTATGTCTTTTTATGTGCCTGCTGTAATTACCGTAATCAGTGAAATGTCTACCACATTCAAGACATATTTCATCCACCTTTTTATTAACTCTTTGCCGTCCTTGTACTAGCTTGTGTATTTTAGTAAGATGTATTTTTATAGCTCCAATATTCCGAAATTTTTTATCACATGTCAAACATTTAAAGTCGTCAAGATTATATTTCACGTCTTCTTTCTTAACATTCCTTTTGTTTTGTATATGTGTTGGTTCCATTTCAGATTCTTCAATTGATTCCATTTTAATATTGATAACCTTTGGTTCGTTATCATCTGAACGTTTTGGTTTAAAGAAATCTTCTAATATATCAACATCATCGTCATCATTTCCCTCGACGTTATTGAAATTTTCTATACATTGACTTGAAACATTGTCGCCAAATAAAATACTTTTTATTGTAGGTGTTAATGGACCAGAATCAACACGTTGTGCTGAAAAATGTTTCATTTCGTCATTTGTGAATAGTAGTAAATTAAAAATTATATTTTAAATATTTAGAGTCAAAGCCTGTTTTAATGGTACAGTAAAAATAAACAAAAAAACATTGTACATTTAACATTCAACTAGTACAAGAACGTACGATCTAAAGTCTTACATACTGTATTAATTACATACCATGTGGAGTTAGTAATATGTTGTCCAATGGAAACTCCTTAATTTCTTGATCTTTTAAAGCCTCATCTAAATTTTTATCTATTGTATAATCATGTTTTCCTGTATTACTGCTGACAATTTCATTGTTATCATTTTCAGTCGAGGTTTCTGTATAAAATCCTAAATGTTGTACATTATTTTCTTCAGTATTATCTACTAAATCCTTTTCTATTTGAGTAAGTTCTCTTGTAACTATTCTGTCATTTTGGTTAATTGGTTTTTCTGCAATTTCTTCCTTTATATCAATATCTTCATAAAGAATACTTTGGACAGCAAGTATCTTCTCTTTTTCTAATTTAATTCTTTCTTCAGTGTCTATTGATAATGGGTTTATTTCTGAAACATCTTTTGAATGATAATCTTCAATTGCACAGTCACTTGTCTCGGTATTTTGAAGAATTTTTTTAACAGCCAAACGACATCGATTAATTTCTATCGCAGTCTTTCCTTCTCTGTTTTTGACTTCAGAGTTAGAATGTTCTGTTAATTGTTTTATTGGTGTATAACGATCGCCATTGGTTATACGCGGTGATGTGAACGGGCTGTAACTGTAAATCACACAACATGATTTAAAAAAATTAAATGTAACAAATTAATTACAAAATAAAATTATGAATCTAAAATTGAAATGAAATCATGTTTATAAATAAATTATGTGTATATAAAAAAAATAAAAATATCGTTAAACTGTGACAACATCAAACCCAAATTAAAAAAATACTTTTAGAAAATATTAAATATTACTACTAATATAAAATGAATAATTATACCTGTCTAACTTTAACTAACAACATACATACTATCAAGTTCTTAGGTTTTCACGATTGTTACACATAGGAAATGAAACTATTTTTCCGGATTTTTAATGGTGTATATTTGATTTTTTCAAACAAACCAACGTTTCGGGCCCTTTACAGGGCGCATGGTCGCGGTTGACTGTCATGTGACTGTTTGCCAAATATATGCGGATTAAATCCGGAAAAATAGTTTCATTTCCTAAACATTAAATACTAACTTTGCATTTAATATTAAAGTATTGTCCACGCCCATTTATTAGAAAATACTCGTGTTCAACGGTAGGAAATACACGACTCTCACGCACACACACTACACATAGAAATGTTTTTGTGCGACGAATGAACGGCATCCGGAAAACTTAGTTAAGTTTATATTATACTGGAATATTTTGTTTTTAGTGCTTTTGAAATATAATAATAAATTAATTAAAAAATATATATTAGTCAAATCACATAGGACAGTAGCGTAGTCAGATGACCAGGGTAGTCTTGGACTGTTAAGAGCTTGCTAATGCGGTGTTCTAATCACCAGGGCTGGATTTACTCCACGTCCACTAGGCCCAAAGCCCACGAGCGCACAATGTCAGGGAGCGCACACTAAATAAAATATTGATTTAAAATACTTTAAAGTCTTGGGCTAGGAGCGACCAAACCTTAAATCCTGGCTTGCACATCAGTGTGTGTATAATGCCCTTAAAAGGACTGCAGTGATGAAATGCTTCTATACTATGGGAACCTATCTAACATCGCGAAAAATAATTAGTTGTTCCATATTAATTAACACTCGACTTATATATATGTGGAGCATCTGTTATTTTCATTTATTTCTGAGGTTTAGTGAGGTGATTACTTACTTGAAGTCCAATTTAAAATCAGTGTCAATAGACACATCGTCCTGCAACCAGTGCGAGTCTAGGGATTCCTCCAATACATCCGCCTCCTCTTCAATTACCTCTCGTATGATGCGCGCTTCCGTATCCGGTATATCATCCGCACGGAGAATATCAGTCATGAAGTTACGGATACTGGTGCAGGTTGATTCTGGGATAAGATATTATTATAATATAAATTTTAAAGCTGACAAACTGGCAAGTTTTATGTTTACTACTAATATTTTATGTTTTAGTGAAATGTGTTGTAGGGGATTCAGGGTCGCATTCCAGAACTCTACTCAATACTCAAGTCAGGACATGAGTATTGCAGTGAGCACTGAAAATCATACTCAAGTCCTTGCCATTAGGGTCGTATTTCCAGTGCTTCAAATCATACTCAAGTCTGCTCAAATCCTGACTTGAGCGTGAGTAGAATTCTGGAATACGACCCTAAGTTACACAGCAAAAACTATAGTATTTTGTGATTGTTCATTGTATCATTAAATATGAAAATATATATAATATAGATAAAATAAAATGTTAATATAAAGAAATATTTAACAGAAGTGTAACATGCCACGCTATATATTTCATATTAAATTTTTTCTCAAATGTGTCCAAACGTCACTTTAATAACTTTAGTATGAGTGGTACAATCAATCATAGTTCTCCATCTAGAATATATAATATAGTTAAGCTGGATACAAAATCTGACCAAATAACTTTTGTATGCCATTAACATTGACTTACTATAGCAATATAACTATAAATAAACTTAAAAATAGAATGTTATATCGTCTGTTTAAAGGTAAAACCCCATGAGTGACATTTTCCACAAAGTCTTTAATTTATATAGCAATGAGCAATGGTAAAAAAATCACTATCTCTCTGCACGTGAAACTCAATAACAAAAAGCTATTATATTATTATCTATATTATATATAAAGCTACATAGACTCACTTAGAAAAATAGAACGCATTCTTCCCGATATGGTAAAAAAAAAGATATTTATGCCGTTGTACGCGGATAGGCTCCAAGGCAAAGAATCAAATATGAAAAGACCTGAATGTGGAAAATGTAAACGCCTGGTCAATTTCCGCGGGAAGTAAAAAATGTTCGAAATTCAAATAAACAAGATGGCTGCCATACAAATTTCAAAGCCTCCTATCACGGAAACTATTAGGATAGGTAGGAGGTGCTTGAAGGAATGTCACAGAGGGTAACACTGGTCAACTGCCTGGGTTAAAAAAAATTCAAGATGGCGATTTCAAAACGGCGGCAGAAGAAAAACTTGTTTCGATCCGGCTGAAAATTGGCATGGAGGGTCTCTAGGGGTACTTAATCATAATTTGGAGTCAAAAATTTCTTTTCACCATTATTTAATATGGCTGCCATATAAGCGTATTTTTCGTTAAAAATAGCTGCCGAAAGAGATTTGCTCTGATTCGACTGAAAATTGGCATGTGAAGGCCACTAGAAATGCCGATAATAATTTGTGCTCAAAATTTGTTTTTCGCCATTTTCAAATATGGTCGTCATAGAAGCGTTCGTTGGCGGCAGAAAAAAAAATACTGATCCCTTTGAAAATTGGCATATGGGAGTCTCTAGGAGTGCTTGATAATAATTTGTTATCAACATTGGTTTTTCGCCATTTTTCAATATGAAATAAAAATAAAATTTGCTCAAATTCGATTGAAAATCGGAATGTGGAGGAGTCTATGGGTCTTTAATAATAGTTTGCGGTCAAAATTTATTATTCGCCATTTTTCAATATGTCTGCCATACAAACTTTTTGGCGGCACATGGAAATTTACTCTATTTCAGCTGAAAATCGACATGTGGGGACCTCTATGGGTGTTTAATAATAATTTGCAGTCAAAATTAACTTTTTGCCATTTATCAATATGGCCGCCATTAAAGAGCTACGTTAATTTTTTTAAAGTCGTAAGTGCCGAGGCCGTAGGCCGAGGTGTAGTGGAGGGCGAAGCCCGAAGCGTCCGCACGCCACCTTACGTAGGTAGTATACGGAGACTAGATTTCGCAGTTGCTCAAAATGTAAGGCATACGTCCCGATGTAGTGGAAATAATATCTTTATACAACTTATAGCGTTGTTGTATCTCGACCGTCTCTCTGTTAGATTTTTTTATTGCAAGCTATGCCAAAAAGATAAGTATTTAGGGAAAAACTGCCAGACAATCACTTCAAATTTCTGGTCCCAAACTAGGGAATTTTCTGTACTACGAGTAACGATAATTCTGAAGGCAATACCCAGAATACCCTGACCAGGACCAACTTAAAAATATTTTTTCCATAAATTGGCTCAAATAAGAATATGGAACCTCCTCATCAAGCGCCCATAGTACTAATCACTGTGCTACCGAAGAGCATTAAGTACACCCCGTAATCTGAAAGCGACCACGCGCCGTAGGCCGAGCCCGACCCCACCGTAGGTGAAGTATAGGGCTAGTAAACTTAATAAAATTCTTGTTTTATCTGCAGAAAGATGGTGAATTTCTTACAACAGGTACAGTACATAGTTTTTTCGTGGAAAATGTCCTAAATTTACCTTTTAAGTTTTACCTTTAATCAGACATTATATTAATAGCACAAATTAAACCCATGTACTAATCATGGCACATTAGACTTACAATGGTAATGTTCAGATAAATTTGGGCAAAAACTTTCGTATAAAAATAAAACAGTGACCTAGCACCTCAGGACGAGGTTATTACGTATATAGGTCCTTTAAGATCGTATTGCTGTTTTTAAGTTCGAATGAGGAAGTATCATATTTTCAACATTGGATATTATACAGAAAATAATATGAAATGACATTACCATGAAATTGTGAATCACATAGCAACAGTATAAACTAAAAAAAGTATAAATTATTTTTTTACCGTTGTCATCTTCTTTCGTGCTCCGTGCTGGAGTACTATTTCCACTCAATAAGGGAAATCTGGAAGCACAAACCAAGCATAATGTTATTTTCTCATTAGCTTATTATTATTAGCTCAGTCTGGACTGATGCAGTGAATTGAAAGTATCAATCACTGTCTCAGTGAAACTAATGACATTGGTTTTTTACGATACCAAGTGAAGAGACGAACAAGTAATGTGCTTGGTGGTAAGCGACAGACTCACTCATAACAGTTGCAGTCCAGTTCAGAGCTTTAAATCGCAAAAATGTGAGGAGCGGTGACAGTGCCCCTCAGATCTTTCCATACATTTTTTGTCCAATACGTAGTCTTCATCTTATACATAGTCATAGTATTCAGTACTCCAATAAATTACTTATCAAAAAAAATTAAAACATTTTTAATATTGGTTTAAACTTAGTTCTTTCTGTCTGTCTCTCCCCCCTCCAGAATGTGCTTGGTGGTAAACGACACACCTACCCATAAAAATTGCAGTGTGGCTCAGAGCTTTAAATCGCAAAGATCTGAGGGGCACCCTGAGACATTAGTTGAAAAGTCCCATGTGCGTGTAATTTCACCAGCTCCCTTACCCTTTAAAACCAAAATACAGTACTTTGATTTAAACTTTCACGATTTTTACGATTGGTCTCGAAGGGACTGACAGTCCTTGATTAAGTTCCAAATTAAAAATCAAACAAAACACAGTAATGCTCATATTACTTCTAACTCTTCGAGCATGTCCCAGTAGAACATCGTGTCACTTTTCAGAAAGATTACAAAATAGAATATAAATTCCTGCTTGAATCACTGTATTTTAATATGAACTAATTTTGACATGTATGTTTTTTTGGATCAACCAAAAATTTTGCAAAGAATTATTTACTGCAATGCACATTCGAAGTTAAATAAATGTACACTTTTGTGAACACCATATATCTTACCTAAAAGTTAACAAATCTTCATCATTGTTCTTCAAATATGAACAGATATCATCAACATCACCAGTTTCTTTCAATGCCAAGTAATTTTTAATCTTCTTTTCTGAAGTCCTACAGAGTTTTTTGAACCTGCATGCCATCTTCATGTTGATGTAGCAGTCTTTGCAAAGTTGGAATGGAAATATATCATTTCGTTTTACCTAAAAGACGAAAGCTATATAATATGTATATTACTAAAATTTTAGAAATATTAACATTGAAACTGGTGAAACTCAATGCTTTTCTGAGAGTGGTCCCACAATGTGGATTTTAACTCATTTGAGGTGAGAGTACCAACTCAACTGTCTGTAAGGAGGAGGTTTGGCCGAAGACATAATGAAACTTTTTGTAAACTGATTATAAATAAAAACCCACCTGCAATCCTGTGGAATATAAATAAAGTCTCCGGTTCTTTTCAGTGTAGTGTAGAATTTCCGTAGGATCGTCGTATTTGATTAAACATCCTCTACAAAATCCTTCCATTTTACGTTTCTTGACAAGCTTTTGGCTTTTAATAAAACAGTTTATTCAAAACATAGCACACTAAACTTGGGATGGATGCAAGTAAATAAAATAAATACATAAATAGTAGTTTGTGCCACAGACTATATACTTACTATCCACCAACATGTCCGTCCATATCAAAATATCTCTATCCCCGTCACATTTATGCTATTTACCACATGTTAGAGAGGGCTAGGCAGAAATGCTCTATGGAATGTATGGAATCTATGGATTAGTAATACTAAATAATATAATACCCGCAAAACGACGGAGCCATAGACACAAAAGTTGAAGTTGAAGTATACCATTTCATCCTTACAGGTGGACAAAAAATAGCTTAGAGGATGGAAAAAAATAACAGAAAAATAGTCTAAGGGTCGTATTCCAGAACTCTACTCAATGTTTAAGTCAGGATTTGAGTATGATTTAAAGCACTAGAAATCACACTCAAGTCCTTGCCATTAGGGTCGTATTTCCAGTGCTTGAAATCATTCTCAAGTCTGCTCAAATCCTTACTTGAACATTGAGTAGAGTTCTGGAATACGACCCTTAAGATTCCATCCTTTAAGTAAAATACGAAAATTAGTAGGTTACTAATTTGTCATTTGAATGACAGGATTAGTCTAACGAACGAGCAGATTGTCGAATATCGAAATCATTCGCAATCGCGCACCGCTATGCCCATTTCCAAAGAAATGTATCGATTCTAGTAATAAAATCGTGATCATTCATATAAAAGGCCATTTATTTAAATAGCTTAGCTAGATTTTTTTTCTCTTATAGTTTGGCACTACGACGTCCAGCCTTTGGCCATATGCAATTTCCACTGAGTTGCAAATTTTTGATAATTCTTCCAAATAAATATTTTCTTGCTTCTAGAGATTTCAGGATAATTATTATTGTCGTTGCAATTGTTGTTGTGGAACTTTGGCTGGGTTTTGGGTTTATGGATATTAATATGAAATTAAAAACGGGGAAAGGAAATCGCGGAATAAAAATAAAAGCAAACGGAATTTTGGAAAGGTGATCAACAGGATAGTGTAGTATAGTATAATAGTATAGTATAGTTTTAATTTTTCTAATTATTCAATCACCACCATTGATTCAAATTGATCACCTTCCTTGTCTTTCACGACATAGCGTCGATTTAATCGACTCGATTACGAAATGTGTGAAACGAATAAAAACCAAAACCGTCATGCAGACCTGAGGACTCGAGAAATGAATCTGAAAAATGACAATATCAGAAAGTCGTTTCGTTTACGTTTTGTTTGGGCTACGCGTTTGTGCCATAGCCGTCAAACTTACGTCAAACGGAAAAATAGGGTGTAAATAAACAATGATTAAATGTTTATTTTTGTAAAATTTTACTCAATTGACTAAACATAGCGATTACTTTCTCATTGATATTGACCGAAATGGAGAATAATGAAAGTAATGGTTCTAATTTGCAGACTAGTGTGACTATTAATACGCCATCCAAAGTTATACATTGTAGCGATGGAGTCATAGAAGATATACATGAAGAGAACGTGGTAGAAGTTGCTAGCGCACCACAAAATCAGGTCTCTGAGGTTGATCCGGTAAGTCAACTCGATAGAATTTCAACTAGTCATCCGTTAAACGTTCATATTTATCTCTATGCTCATTGCACATGGCCCTATAAAGAGTTTTTATCGATTAGTTATTCAACATTCATGTTAGGTGCACATCGTTTGTCCAAGGTCGCGCATCCTTTGTTAATATTTTATTGTTGAAACAGCCACCTTTAACATGTCATTGTCCTAATCATTTATAAGTCCTAATTAGTTTGCGAGGTACTATATACGTAGTATATTGTCTCTTTATAGACTGAATATACTATTTATCACATTGCTAACCCATCGAGTATACTATACATACTCGGTATACTAATGTAACCAGTAAATACAGGCAGGTACAACAATACACATATTTAATTTTGTGGCTGCAAAACTCGACAATTCTGCAACCAGAAAAGGAAAGAGTCACTTGAAGTAGGGGAAACCTTTGTCTGGTAGTGGCGAAGAATTCTTTTATGAGATTAAAAATACAGCAACTAATAATATTGTAAAATAATGGTTTTGTTATTGTCCAAAACATGACTTTTTGAAAACAAGTACTAGAGAGATGATGATTTTATATTTTTAATGCCAAATTATTCAGTAAATTAAATATAAATTAAAAAAGTAATAAAAAAGCAATACTGGTATTGGTATTGGTGCAACGGGCTAGTTTCCGCAACTCGACGTCGAGGCGCCTATTTTGCGTGTGGAAAAAAGCAATAATTAATAATTTATGACAAATAAATTGTAGTAAAAAAATCATTAATATAAGTAATGTTTTAAAATTAAAAAGTTATTGCAAGTTTCCATGTTACAGGCTCTCGTGAAAAGTTGCAATGCTTAAGTTAGCGTAGTGTTGATTGCTGGTGTCGATATAAAAACACATTTGATTACTAGCATTGTATTCTAACAACCCCCATAATGTCACTTTAAGTTGCCTGGTAAATAAGTCATGTTTGGTACAGTCTTGTGGCAGGGTAAAATGTATCAACTACCATTACATCTGAAGAGATCATGGACCATTAACTTAAGAGAGCTGGTAATCTCCATAATACAAATCGTAACTCTGAAAAAGGTCAAAATTCTGTGTTAGATCTAGATGGCGCTGATTGATAGCAGGAAGTAGTTTATATTATGTAATGGCTGTGGATATCAATTACTTCAATTTTAATATGAAATATGAGTATCCAGCTTTTTCTCTTGTAATATTATTCAAATATTGACCATGATTCAAAATTATTTTCTAAACTTCGACAAATATGCGTGTCAATAGATGGCATTGTGGGTTACAAAATAATTTAAAAATTACTGCTTCCTATTATGATATAATATGATGATAGATGGCACTAATCCTAAACAAAAGAAAAGGAAACCCTTTTTAATTTTAAAGAAAACTTTTTAATTTTAAAACATATATTAATGATTTTTTTTTACTACGAATAGACTTTTAATTATGACTTTTTGCATTCGTTTCTTAATTTAATATTTAATTTGCTGAATGATTTGGCATTAAAAATATAAAATCATCATCATCTCTCTCTCTCTCTCGCTCTCTCTCTCTCTTGTACTTGTTTTCAAAAAATAATGTTTTGGGCAATAATATCGTTATTTTAATATCATTGCATGCTGTGTTTTTGATCTCATAAAGTTCTTCGCCACTGCCAGACAAAAGCTTCTACTCCTTCAAGTGACTATTTCCTTTTCAGGTGTAAAAGAATAGCCGGCATTATCCATAAAAATATGTGCAATAAACGCCATCCAGTTGATTTGTTGGTGATCACTAGAAATTAGAGTAGCTTTGATAAATTGCAGCTTGTCAATGTATAAAAAACAAATTATTTATAAAAATATCTATTTAATACTTGTCGCGACATCTGGCCAATAGGCGACTACGCTGTGATGTATCGCGATTAGCAGTTCTCTTAAATTATTGGTCCGTGATAGAGGTGCGGGTCTTGGAAACTTCAACATTCGACCAGTCTTATCATAACTGTAACATAATAGTACCTAACATCGATATGTTTGCTCCTTTTATGATTCACCTTAATCTTTTTTGTTTTATTATATCAAGTAACTGGACGAACAAGTCTTGTGTCTGATGGTAAACTACACGCCTGTCCATAACAGTTGTAGTGCCACTCAAGAGCTTTAAATGGATAAGATCTGAGGGGCACTGTCACTACGGGCGTCACCCTGACACTAAATTGACAAGTCTCATGTGCCTGTAATTTCACCAGCACCCTTACCCTTCAAAACCTGTACACAGTAATGCTGATTTACTGCTTGGCGGCAGAAATAGATTAGGTGGCAGTACTTCCTGGACGAACTCTTCCACAAGGAGTTCTACTGCTACTTTAAGCTACAAGCTACGTAGCACTTGATTTTCACAATATACTTAGTATAATTGTACAAGTATGCAGCATAAACAATTCCTTTAATAACACTTCTAGGAACACTGCCTCTCTACTAACTACTCAAGCTGGCATTGGATGAGAGATGGGCCCATAACTATTTTAAAGCACCTACAGCAAATAATAATATTTAAAATTTTTTTTAATGCCCTAATCATGACATTGTTCAGAAAACAAGTGCAAGAATGCAAGAGAGAGACAGCAGTTTGACATATAAAAATATATTTAGCGTTATATTCTAACAAACGCAATAAAAAATGCTTGCTTGTTTATTTGTCTTAATTATTTGTTTGCATTCCAAATCAATATTATGAAACATGCGTTATACCTATTTTACTACAAAATAAATAAAGCTGTTCAATAGTTATAATATACAACATTTTATTACAGAAAACATTAGCATGGGGTCCCTGGTTCTCTCATTATGCTTGCAAATCAGGATCAAAAGTGTTAAATGCCGTTGATTATGCTGGTGAATCATTGGCCAGCTTCTTTGGCATTACAACACCTAAGTACCAGATAGAAATAGATGAATATGAAAGAATACAGGAGATTCAGAGGAAAATAGAAGAGGATTCAGCTGGATGGGTGCCTAAGAATGGTGGCGGGGACATACCACTAGTCATGAATGAGCCTGTGAAAGATTTAAGCAAACCAGCGGATGTTTAACACAAGAGCAAAGGCAAATGATTATACTAACCTGAGGTTTTAAGATGATTTTAAGTATTATTAATACTTGTTGAAATACAATTTACAAAAGGTTGTTTTGTTTTGAACCAAGCGCACCATTTCAAAAAACAGAAAAATCATAGAACCATGAAAAAATAACTTTTTGCGTTTAATAGCGGTAACTATGGAGAAGAAAAATAAATTTTAAAATCTTATGAGCAAAACTTGACAACTTTTATTGAAAGGGCACTGAAAAATGTTTATGTTAAAATTTTTACAATATTTTATTAAATCATACATACATATGGTAGAGCAGTTTCTGCGAAGTGACTTCTTAGTGCGTCTATTTGCCTAAGAGGCTGCAGTCGTATTCTTAAGCTCCTTTATGAATCTCAGTGTTTGCTGGGGATGAAGAATTTCGAAAGCGGCCTCATTTGCCTGCAGCGGCCTGCAGTTGGTCATGCCTGGATACCTTACTTGAACATACATGGCTGTAGCCTGAAATTGGGTGCACATTTATAAGAGATTGTGATCTGTTTAGCTCTTCATTTTGTTCATTTGATTAATTGTTTAATATTGTTGAGCTTCACTATCCTTTGATCTTTTTGTGACATACTGTATAGGTACTTATTGTGGGTTACGACTATTTGTGTAATGTATCCCAATTCATGTAGTGGGTACATACATTCATCAACTATACGTCGATGTTAAATTCTGAAAGGGATGAGTGGCCATTGTGCTGTCTTTCGATTTTTTTTATAAATAAAGTAAGTTTTCTATTTCATGAATAGTAAATATTAATAATGAATTCATAAATTTGAAACATGCTCAAAGACCTGGGCCAGATTCTATGTAATCATGAAAGAACTCTTTAAGTCTTTAGAAAAGGGTAAGCAGTAAATATGATATTGTAACCTTCATTTGCTTGACTAATGTATTAATTTATTTTTGTATTAAAATAATATTGTTTTTATTTAACCGTTATAAGTAAGGACATGCTTAACTTTGTGTTTTAAGATTTTTGATAGCGCTGGATAAAACATCATAAAATGGTTGCTAATATATACAATACCTTAACTAAGGTTTATTAAACATTTTAATATATTGTATGATTTGTTTTATTATAAATATTTTACGAGTGCGAATGTAAACTTAATTAGTTGTTTAAGGTCATAGGCATTCAGCGACGACGTTAGCCCATGTAGCGCCCCGTTACAATTGGCAACCTGGCGCCCTCTAGTGGCACGCGATCAAAATGTAAAAATATTTTCACCAGGGATCGGAAATTCGGGTGCAAGTGGTGCAAATATAAATGATGTTGGGAAGCAAGCCTGTTTACTTCACTTGCACCGCGAGGAACGCGGATCTTCAGAGGCGTCGCATAGCGAGTGGCGCTCGACGCCCCCTATCTAATACCCTGCTCCACACCCTGCACCATAAGTAAAGCTGGCACTGTAAGCATTTATAAGCGTCTATATAGTGCCTCGAAACACTGATGTCTCAAACGTATTTCCTCACGCAGGCGAATCTAGTAATAATCACTTGATATTAGATAGATGATCAATTTGGTTTTTTAGAAAATAAAATTTTGCCATATCAGTGAGAGCCTAGTGCCTCTTGCAACTGATATTATTAAGTAAAAAACGTTGGTGGTCATTGACACTCAGCATTAGCATGCATTAGCCTTAGGTCCCGTCGTTGGGAGTACCGTTACCTGTTTCTGTCGCCAAGCAGGTACCGTTCACATTATTGCGTTCTGGGTTTTGAAGGAAGGTGCTGGTGAAATTACAGGCACATGGAACTTATCAACTTGTGTCTCAGTTGACGGGCGGAGTTGCAGTGCCCCTCAGATTTTTGTTATTTAAAGCTTTGAGTGGCACTGCAACTGTGATGGACAGGCGTGTCGCTTACCACCAGGCGCAGACTTATTCGTCCCGTCACGTGTTCAATGAAATTCGTAGGGGTAAGAGGTAAGTATGAATATAAGAGTCAACAAACAGGAATTAGATCTGTTACTTAATAATAATCATAATGTGCCACACAAGCGCAAATACGAAATACCAATTTCTTATGTGTACCAGACAGAGCAACGGAATTCACTCTGCACAGCTCAGAACAAATAGAGAAAAGTTATTTCTCACATTGATCATACCGGGATCGAACCGGGATCTCCTCATCCAACGTCAACATGCCACTCGACAGCAAAGTTATACAGTTTAATGCAGTGGTAAAGTTATTCCATGCGAGCCCTGAGTCATTTTCAGAGAGCCTCTCGATGGCTGCCCAATATCTGACAGACTCCACTTGTCAGTTAGTGCATGGAGAATAGGAGCAAGAGAGATTTTATGAGCACTTTCAAAGTGTATCTATACTTAAAAAAATCATTGGGTTTCTATGTTTTTTAGTATAACAATTTACTTCGTTAGCCACTTTCATGTTAAGATATTTATTGTTTTGTTATATAATAAATAAAAACCAGACCTTATACTTCCACTGCTGAGCAGAATAATTTGTGTTATTTAATTATATTGCCATCTAGTGTCTAATAGACGAAGTAATCGAATTAAGAGCGTACTAATTGCTTCAAATGTTTTCGGGAGATGGCGCTTACACTTAGTATTAGAATTTCTTAGTAGATGGCACTGCTTATTTTGATCTCAAGCGTCTTTTTGATTGTTTAAAAATATAACAGATGGCGCCCTTTATAATTTTTATTATAATAGATTTAAATCTTTTTAATTTATTATTTGTGCACTAAATACTAAATTTAATCTTTTGACAAGCTAGTTCTTGTATGTACTTACTACAAGTATTACATTGAAATTTTACCCGAAGAAGTAAGGTACAATTTTGTTTGGCGAAAGATAAATTACTCTACAATCTTCGATTAAATCAAAAGAAATGTTACATGATCGTTGCTGTGAAATTGTGACACTGCTTAATTTGACAGTCTGATATAATAGTCTTTTTTCACTTACTACTAGGTACTCTTTCTTATTTTTATGTGAGTGGATAAAGTCAAATTGCTTTTATTCTAATAAACAAATATTAATAACATCACATGTTACTTCCGTTGTGAATTCTTTCAAAAATAAGCAAAGCAAAGATTTATTGTACATTAAATACACACTGTACCCAAGTACAGTGTCGCCTACCTACTTAGCAATTGGGTTTGTGACAAGAATTCATTTTTCACAAATTTTCAAAAGTCATGTCGCCAAAACTAAGTGTAAAATATGTTTTGATCCAAGGAGCTAGATAAGTAGGTACCTATACGCCTGTCTATATATATAATGTTTCTCTACTAAACATACAACAAACAAGGCTCTTGTTTCTCTTTATTCTTTACTTGGAAACGAAACGTCATGATGTGTACGTAAGAGTTAAATGAAGTCTAAGTTAAATAAGTCCAAAAATGCCGGTCCATGCTCTTTGATCTTCTCTCATATTGTGAGGACACAACTACACGCACACAACAGCTTCTTTCAAATTTGAAACGTTCCATCTCAACTGTGGTAATGATAACAACTGTAAACTTTACTTGCTTTTACTAAGGCTCTGTTTTGTTCGCTCGAATTTCGCAATATAAATTACACCCCTTTTGAATTTGAATTAGTCGTAACCGCCGCGGATTTTGTGGAACAGTTTTAAACTTTATCATGAAAGTTATACGGTGGTATTTTGAATGTTTGAATGTCATATGTTATTGTTTGCCGGTGTTTAGCATGTGATATGTCGAAATGTAAACGGTTCGGTGTCCGCAGATCAATATGCGTGTAGCGCGAGGGTGTTTAGAGAGCCGCCATTGGCCGGCGCGTGTGGGGCGGGGTCGTGTGTGAGGCGGCGCGCGGTCTCACACATTTTGGCGCGAAATCCCACATTCTGTTTTCGAATACTGACGCATAGAGCATTATGGTTTTTGCACAGGTATTAGGCATTGAAATCTAAAAGAAGTCCATGTCATGTATGACTTTGTAAATATATATTTACATATGAATCTCTATCGAAATGTAAAAGTTAAGGAATCGATATTTCTGAAACTGTTAACTCCCGCTACAACTGAATTTAATTTCACAATCAAAATACTCACATTATTATTGTACTGCTATTACAATAATGTTGAATCTCAAAATAAGTGAAATTCAAGTTTATATTACTGCTGAACGTAATGTTTGATTCTACACGTCAATAAAACCGTCGCTAGAACATTATAAGAAACATTGGAAAGATGATCTGCTTAACTCAAAATGAGACAAATTTTATGTGAGCTGGTTCCTGGATCTGGACAACACAGCTCTTACTCTAAACTTACCTTACTTTTAAAAATATGTTGGAAAGTATGAAACTGTTTAGATGTTTGTAATAAACTTTATTTTAAACATAATTTTTAATAATCTTTCGCCGGAAATTAGTAGTAATTAGTTTTAGTCATCATTTCTGAAAAAAATACTATTTTTGAGTTAATACACTGTTGTATTAACAGTGCCATATCATTATGATTATGAAAATGTAATAGAAAACGATTTTAGATGTCAATTCTTTCAAAGTTCTGTTTGGGACTATACCTACATAGTAATTTCATTCAAATTTATCAATGCTATGGGCAGTCATGTAACAACTGACACAATAAATAAATACCTAAGCAAGAAAAAAGAAAACAATGATCGCTCGCGCCCACAGAAATAACCCTAACTAATAAATCAAACTGACCGGTTGACCGATTCGTTCAAGTGTAAATATTGCCTAACAAGCTGGAAAGTGCAAACCGCTGATACTTTGGGCTTGTCGAAAAAAAAAACGAATTAAAAAAAAAATCAGTCAATTAATATCTAAGGTAAGGTACGGCATTTTCTAAGTTTAACAAGAATAAGTAAAAAGAGTCGTTATTTTCGATTAGGTAGAGTAAAGAATAAGTGGATGTGCCTACGGTAGGGTAGTTAAGGTTTTTTCTACATATTAAGGTATTGTACCGACAAAAAAGGTGATTGAAATAAACAAATAACTTTGTTTTCAACAAAAAAAAGGCGGAAAAAAGTCCCGTCCCTTGGTACAATGAAAAAATTAAAAAAACAGAGCTATGTCTAGTCATCATCGCCATCCTCTCGGTCCATTAACACCCACTGCTGGGTAAAGATAGGCGTCCTCTTCAGCAATCTCAATAGGTCCTGTGCGAGTCTCATCCACAATCTTCAGGCCACCCCGACGTAATTGTCCGACCATCTAGCAGGAGATCTGCCTCGAGAACATCTCGCTCCTTACGGGTACCCGATGTGATATCTAAATAAAGAAAATTTTGGTCTTTATTATTATTAATTTTCGAATGTAACTCACATATTATGTTAAAAATTACCTATAGTAAATATTACGTTACTGTATCGTTTCCATCTTTACATTGTATTATTTATTCGTAATATTGAATGCGATAGTAAATTAACGACACACGAACAAAAAGACGAATTGTTGAGTTGCAACAAAAAATTATTTACACCCAAATGCCGTGAAGTAGCGAAAACTAGTTCGCACAAAGAAACTTATACAAAATCGTCATGTTTAGCAAATCCGCGAATAAAATGCACGCAAATTCCGAAACTGGTAATTCTAGTTTTATTTTATTACTACAAAGCTTGTTTGAACACGCGCCTTATAATTTTAAATTTTGTTTAGGGATCCTTTTTCTATATGAAATAACTTTGGTGCTTATAAAGATATTGGGAACACTACAACACTAACTGCAGACGGAATATTTAATGAAAAATTAGATTACGATTAGGTTAATACAATAGACTAGGCAGAAAGCGTCTTTGAGAGAGAAGTTTACAAAAAAACATTCTTACACTGGTGTAACAGTACCTATGTACCGCTTTTTTTTTTAAATGGAATGGCACTAGAACACTTTGTGCCTACGTGAAAGTAAAAGGTTAGGAAACAGATGGGAGGAAAACTAAAAAGGAAACTTGATCAGGAGAACTAAGTTTGGAAGAAATTATATATAGCTATATACAAGAAATATTATAATTTAAAATACTCGTATATCCATAAATTACACGAAAT